GGGACCCTGTAAGACTCCACCGGGGAAGGCGCCGGTAGGCTGGGGGCCTAACGAGGCCCCACTCCTGGTCAGGAGGTGTGACCTCCTCTTCGACGGAGGTAGGGGGCCGTGACCCCACCTCCGTCGCACCTGGGCCNAGTGCAATGAGGGGTGAATTTTCACCCCTCTCGGCCCCAGGTCAAACGCCGTAGCGGACCTGTACCACCATTGTATTGGTCTCTCTCTTGCCGAGTGAGACCCTCCCNCCTACCACGCCCGAGTCCCCGCTGAACCAAGCCTAGGGCTTCGAGCAGCAAGGACCGGTCTTCGCCTTCTTCGGCGCTCCCGCCCCTAACAGGGCGGCCAGCGTCCTCGCCGCCTGGGTCTTCTGGTTTCGAGGCCCAGGTGGCGGTTCCGACGACCGCTCCGGCAGAGTGTCTGCCGGGACTGGGGACGGCTCCATGCAGCCGGAGGAAACAGTTCCCCCCGACCCAGAAGGAGCCGGCACCCCTCCCGTCACCACCGTTGGGGAAATAGTTGGAGAGGATGGGGTCTCTCCCGGGGGGTCGACGTCCATCCTCTCCTCGGCCACACCGGGGGCCTCCTCGGGAGGAGGAACCACCCCGGCTAGCCGCCTCTTCGCCCGCCCGGCGACGCCCGGAGCTAGCTTCTCTGGGCCCGCAAATGTGGTGGTCACGCCACTCACACGGGGGGGTGGGGGGTTACATTGCTGACCCCCCAGCACATGACGGGCCTTGCGGCCCAAGTCCGCGCAGAGCGGACATCTTGGCTCCGGCGCCGTGCACTGGCGCAGGACATGCCCGGCCAGACCGCAGCGGAAGCAGCGGTCCGACCGGTCCACTTCTGTGGAGGGGCAGAACTGCCCCACATGTCCCACGCGCAGGCACCGGTAGCAGCGGAGGGGGCGGGCCTTGACCGCCTCGACGCGGGCACGGCTCCACCCCATCGTAATCCTCCCCTCCGCAACCAGCCGCTTGGCTGCCAACATAGGGCACTGCGCCCACACCGTCTTCTGTCCGGAGGGAAGAGCTCGAAGTTCGCCCAGCCTGATCTCTCCCTCCGGACAGCCGCCCTCCCGGGCAAGTACCGCCAACACTTCCTCGCGGGAGACCGTGCCGTCGATCCCCCGCACCCGGACATTCCCGGGACGCGAGGGACGGCGGACCTTGACGCCAGTCCCCGCGAGGACGTCCTTCATCTTGGCCGCCAAAGTGTCCGCTTTGGCGGCCATGTCCGGACCGAGGACCTCAACCATCAGGTCCCCGGTCATGGTTCGGCGTGGGCGGACCTCCCGAATCCCGAGGGACTCAATGGGAATGGCCAGCCGACACCGCTT